AGAGTAGGGAAAGCTGAGCTCCTTCAGACCTTGGACAGGTCAAATCAAAGGTTTTCAGGTCTGGAGAAAGACCGCTTAGTTCAGATTCGGTATTTTCCTATTTCTATTTGTGATCAACTGCGGAGCGTTGTGAAAAGAATGGACCGTGGGTTTTTGGGTCACGCATGCGGATGTAAAAACGAAACGGACCTAACTTCTCTTTCATCCGCAGTGTGTTTGGCTTCAGCCCCACCCCTCCCAGCCCAAGGCTGAAGGAAGGGGGGTCTTTCTTTGCCACTTTTTTCGAACAAAGGCCCCAGCTTGGAGTTTTCGGCTAGGCGAAAAGCTTCAAGGGGGGCAAGGGGGGCTTTCCCTTCTTTCTGGTTAGGCGAGAGTAGGGAAAGCTGAGCTCCTTCAGACCTTGGACAGGTCAAATCAGAGGTTTTCAGGTCTGGAGAAAGACCGCTTAGTTCAGATTTGGTATTTTCCTATTTCTATTTGTGATTAACTGCGGAGCGTTGTGAAAAGAATGGACCGTGAGTTTATATATATATATATATTCTTACTTTGACCATGTCATTTAAGCTTTGCGCAGCACTCTGGAAGACGGACTGGGATGAACATCGTTCTTTGAATAGTGGCTTCATGCAGTGTCGGACGGCATCTTGACAGGTTTGGGCACATCTTCGCCAAGGGCCCCAACCGGGAGGCAGCCAGGAAGAGCTTGCGTTTCGCATTGATGAACCTGGACATCAGCGGTGAGATCCGACACCCAGTCGATTATTTGGTGGATCTCATTGAGACCAAGGACTGGAATGTTTGTCGCGCCAAGATCAAAGGCTCAATCAAAACATTCGGATTTTTGTTCACGTTTCTCAAGGCTTTTGGCTGCCTGGGCGCCTGACTCCAGGAATACCGGGAGAACACCATCGACACCATGTGGCTGGATGGCCTGATTGCCAGCAAGGCCATTGCCCCTAGCCTGGGGGCGATGGAGGCGGGAAAAGGGCGTGTGAGTACTGAAGGCTGTATGGAACATTATGGAACCTGTTACACTATTTTGCGTTTCAATGATTTGCCGGAAGAATGTTTTTTCGCCTCCCCATGGAGTTCACGTTCGGGATGTAGCATCCAGCAGTCCCATGCCTTGCAGCTCTGAGAACACAGCAAGAAGATGTTTGCCCGCGAGAAGTATCAGTATGCCGTGGAAAATTACAATAAGGTTGACTGTTGACCAATGAGATGTTCATAGTCCCAATAGGGGGTTGGTCAATCAGCAGGTGATCAACAGTCAAAATTGGTCATTATATAAAACATAAATTACCTTACAGAGTTATGTCACGTCGTTCTGTTAATGGCCAGGTGGTCTTCTATGCTGCTGTATTCCGAACATTTGAGACAGTGAAGAGCCGCACGTTGGAAGCCATCCATTCTATGCAGAAGGGTCAGTTGGTGCTGCTGGGGAAGAGTGACACTTGGTGGGCCTGTTGTCGTGAGCTGGAATGGCCAAGGTTACCAAGGTTATATAAGATAAGACCGGAACGCTGCCATGAATCATATTGAGGGTGAAAGTTTGCATTGCTGTCTACCCACGTGGTAGTGTATTTTTTGGAAGCACCGAACTGGCAAGCCCTCGGCGTCAGGATGTGGTTGGAAAATTGGTTTCTGTTCTTGGCGTTGTGTGAAGTACATCAGACGCACAGCACCGTTTGGAGAGCTCTGTGTTGCATCCTAAGGACACAGATGCCCTCACCTCCTTCCACATTGATGTCACCTATGATGAGAAGAAGTTTTCTTTCTCTGTGTCCAGGAGTGTGGGGCTTAGGGTGTTTTGACACCCTGAAGTTGGTTGCCTCACCTTCAGGTGGAACTCCTCAGAGGAAGATGCAAGAAAGCAGCAAGAACAACTTGTTATTTGGCAGGAGGCGGGCCGACATTTATTGCTTCAGCATCAATGACCAGACCATCAAGGCCAAGGTAAGGGAGCAGCCGGATGGCTCATTATATGCATCTCGGTCCTAAAGCATTGGCTTTGCAAAGCAAGGGTTGGCTTAAGTCTCGGAGCTACACCTTGTGCGAGAGAGGCCATGTCAGGGCTTGCCTGCTCTTGAGGTTCGGGTGGGCCGCCAAAGCCAGCAGGTCAAGGGGCAAGAAGAGGCCGGATTTCGCTCAGTTGATCCAGAGAATTGTCCTGTTTGTCTCAGCCGATGGACTGACATGAGAATGCTTGAGAGCAAGTTGCAAGGCCTTGGGTCTTCGTTTGGTGATCGGTGGCCAGACCATCATGGTCCCCAACGTCTATGATCCTTCCGAGTTGCGCTCGGATGTGAATGGGAAGGTGGTCCGCTATTTGCACGATGAGGGCACTGAGATTGCCAAGGGCGAGGCATATGTGGCGCCTTGGAGTTCAGAGCGGACACCAATGATTAATGATTGATTAAGTCCTTTGGTTGTAATTGTTATAGTCTTCCCACCCCCAGCTGTTCAAAGATTCTGTCGCTTGGTTTCGGCTGGCTGATCCATTTGGATGAGGAATTGGAGGCCATGAAGATGATCATGGCTTTGAAGTCTCCCGAGGCTGCAGGGTGGATAAAGCGTGCTTACTTGCCGTTCTACTTGATGCTCAAGGTTTGACAAACACAGCCTACTAGAATCTAGCGAATCTAGCAGCTATAGCAGTCTGAAATGCCAGATGCTAGCCAGTCCTGAAAACCAAGATCCGTTCCCTAGTTCACGTCTAGAATGCCTATTCCCCTTTGCAGGCTTTGCCGGTCACCAGATTTTGTCAGGCTGGCCGTGTGAGCCATGCGCTGTCGGCGGGCAGCATCGTGTCAGCGGGGGAGCTGCTGGCAAAGCTCGAGTTGAAGGACCCTTCCAAGGCTGGGATGGCTCGGCCGGCAAGTAAGGAGTTCTCCGAAAGTCTCTGAGTTTACAAGGCTGCAAGGGCCAAAGCTTGCCAAACGTCTCGCGATTGATTTGGGACGTGATGGCGGTGATCAAACCTGCGGGATGATGTGCTTTTTTCCTCGTTATTTGGCGACGATGGAGTCACACAGTGCTGCGCGTGCTACAGTGCTAGACGTGCCTAGGCCCCATGCAACATGCACAATAGAACACAACAAACCCAAACATCGCTGCGGTCCAGCCAGAGTTCAGCACAGCAAGACTTGACCCCTGGGTGTTGGGGAATCTATATAGCTTTACACGAGACAGCCTTCTACTCGTTCTCCGGTTATCATACGGGACATTGGAACTTCCAGGGTCAAACCCACAAAAGGAACCTGACCAGGCGGGTTACGGTTACATCTACAAGAAGACGCCAAAGCTGCCAAGGGGCGTTGGTCATAGCCCTTTAGAATTGGCGCACCTATCGCCATATCACGTCATCCAAAAGAGCAAGGGAACCGTTTGGAGGCTCCCAACGTGGAACAGATGTGTCTCCCAACGTAGAGGCCGCTAATGCCAGCCGCCGAACCCGGAGGTGAAGAAGATCCTGCCCTTTGAAGGTCATTGGCAGGGCCCGGGCCTTGAGGAGGCCGAAGACTTGGAGCCTCGTGAGGAGCTTTTGGCGCTGCTGGACGGCTACAGCATTGATGCTAAGGGTCCGCTGGTGGTTCAGATGCTCGACGAGCAGCTGAGGGTGGGCCCTCTTGGAGGTCTTCAAAGGGGTTAGAATCGAAGTAAATCAAGCGAGTCAGGGCTTAGGGATGCTTAGGGCTTTAGGTTCTTCTTGCAACAGTTGAGATAGAATATAATTTGCGACTGTAGATGACCTTCACCATTTGGCTGTCAGTTCACATCATGTCCAGGCAGTGTGACGTGGTACAGTAAGATGCAGCTAGCTTTGAAAGCCCATGAAAGCCCTAATCCGACAATATTTGCATCTTTCGGAAAAAACCACTTGAATCCACTTGCACATATTAAGAAACACACCTACAAACCCACTGGGGTGGGGCACCTACCTCAGCACGACCTTCTTTGGGGCCTGCGGGCAGTGGCTCCCAGGAAGATGTTTGCGAGCTTTGCCAACAACGAGGTGGCAGCTGAGACGGTGCGCGGGGTCTTGGAGAAGTATTTGTCCAATGAACGGCCTTTTGCAGCCTCCATCGAGAAGAAGTGACCTGGCAGCTTCAGTCTGTATGATGCTAATGACTTTGAGCTTGATAGCTGTTGGTGGGTTGAAGGTTGAAAGCTCAATTTTGGAGGCTCCAAGGGTGAAGTCAGATGCCAACTGTGCCAGGCAGCCTTATGACCAGCTCCTGCTGGAGCTGATCAATGAGGGGAAGGACGATCTCCAGAAGGCAACTCTTCTGCACATGAGACATGAGAAGCGCTTGAGGGAGTGCGACCACCTTGCGATGATCGACTTGATTCCCCAGACAGTGTGGAAACACTAGGTCACTAGGGGTTCCTTCGGTAATGGTTAAGGGCCAGTGTTCAATCGAGGTGTTGCATCGGGGCGTCCGGCTAATTCGTTGCTATTTACAGTACATTCATGCCTCTCGAAATCCTCGAAGTGCATTTCGACTGCGCAGGCTCGCAAAATCTGGTGGGCTGGCGCGGGTGCTTGTCGCGACTGTGCTCTCGTTGTGGTGGCGTGCACATTTTCGGGCATGATGGTCACTTTTCGTGGCAGGCGCAAGGGAAACCTCGTGCACTGAATCGTGACTTTTGGACATGTGGCTCGTTTTCAGTAATTGTTGCAGATGCAGTGCTTTGTTGACTTTGAAGTGCACAACTTTGTGGACCTTGAGGTGCAAATTTCGTGGCAGGTGCAGTACTTTGTGGACCTTGAAGTGCAGATTTGTGGCAGGTGCAGCACTTTGTGGACCTTCAAGGCTGAATTTCGTTGAAGTGCAGATTTCGTGGCAGGTGCAGTGTGACCTTTCTCAGCTTCAACCCCATCCACCACCATCACCACCATCACCATCACCACGATCGCCACTTTCATCACCACCATCACCTCTCTGGACTCTGGGCCCCCAATGCGTTTAGATCTCCAGACTACATCTCTAGGCCTCAAACACACTGTTTGGGGTCTCTTGCCGGATTATTTTTCAGGCCAAGATTGATGGGGGGATACTGTGCACCCTTGGCACCGTTCTCAGCCAATATGAGGCATCATCAGCCTGTATGTATATGTATACTATCTATTTGTGACAAATTTAAGGATCCTCAAAACTACGGACGTCACAGCTAGGTGCTATTCATGCTCGTTGCCCACAACAAGATGGCCGAGCGCAATGGCGTCATCATGGCAATCCTCCGTGAGATGGTGGCAGCTGAAGGCTCAGGCATGTCTTGCATGCCGCTTGGCGTGGTTGAGGTGATTGATCCCCCAGAGGCTAAGGACAGACTTGTCATGCATAGGTTTCATATAGGCATAGTCCTTACTTGGTTAGGTGTGTTTGTGCTTGGTTGCGGCATGTTTTGAACATCGGAGGTATGTGCCAGAGATGCGGGAAGATGACATGGACAGTGCTGTGCACCAGAAGATCCTGGAGATTTCGCAGCTGCCGAGCACTGCCGGAGTGGCCGGTGATTACGGCAACGTGCGATATTTGGCACAGCAGTCCCATGGCCTTTGTTTCGTAAGTAGGAGGAGTCTTCAGGCAGCCAACTGACATAAATTGATATATTATACATGTTGTTTTTTGACATGTTGATAGATCGATGCATCTTGATTGCGACCGTTCTACTAGGTTATTGATATTGATGTCCTGCGTTTTGGGCTGTTTGTGGGAAGGAAGGGTATTGATTGCTCCCACAATCAGATCTGTCACTGGCCGAGGCTGCTGGATGTGTTGCCCTCAGAGTCCCATGCACAGCGTCTCAGAGGCTTGAGGGAGCAGCTGGTACAGTTGGATGAGAAGGCCTGGTGCATCCACTTGAAGCGATGCTGAAGGTTGACGGAACGATGCGAATGTCATGACTGAAAAGCATCCAACATCATCCAACATGTTTCTGATTCTGACATGCACAGTCCCAACATTTCCCAACATCCCGAGTTGGTGATATACTTGCTTCATGTTCCTTGTCTTTCTGCATGGCTATATAATGCTAAATTACTGCCTTTCTTCAACTCCCAAACGCGGGCGGTGGCTGTTCAGCTTGAAGGTGTTTCTTTGTGCCACTTGCACTGAACCAAACCTGAGACTGGATTGTGATTTCCAAGAAAGCTGCCTAAGTTGAGCGAGAAAAGGAGCATCCTGAGTTTGTGTTTCTTTATAGTGTTTAGTAAGTTTAGTATGTACATGTATGTACTTTGCCCCAGTGGCTACATGATGCTACATGGGCCAAATGGAAAGGCTTAAGTGATCGTCTTACTAATCAGAATCAAAATCCTTGGGACTGCTGCCTTTGCCGCTTCCGCCTGCAGGCCTTCCAGCTGGCTGGTTCGGAGCTCCCAGGAGCTTCGGAGGGAACTTGGAGGTGGAGCTTCTGGTGGAAGCTCTCCATGATGAGGATCTCAAGGCGGCATGAGGTTGTTTTTCGTCATGCTCTGGATGTTTGATTTCAGGTTTGAGCTCAGCTTATCGTATACTATGTCCATCAACTACCGAAAGTCGAGCCCAATATTGATATAGTGTGGCTACTTTTTGGCTGTTTCCCACAAATGGATTTTTGGCATTAAACAGTTGCGACCGGCAAACAGTTGCATGCTTTTGTGACAGCCTCCCATGTGAGTCTTGCATGCAACGACACGATATGCGAGTGAGAGAGTCTGCAGTGTGCTGAGCAGTACTATAGCGGCCTAAGTAAATTGCTGTTAATTGGCTACATCCCAGTGTCCAGGGGATACGATGGGGTGAAGTGCGGTGAGCCGTTTTAGAATGCTTTGAGATCCAGGTGCAGAAGCGTGCGATGCACTCATACCTCTACTGGCTGGCTAAACCCGGGCGGCTCGCAAAGTTGGAGGTCCAGGAGAAGTCAGCTTTGTGGACTCAGTTCTTCCCAGTGGATACAGAGGTGCATAATAGGCATGGACTGATGCTGGTTCTACCTGATCTGGAGCACATGGAAGGCGCTTTGGATCAAAGGCTGCCGGAATTGGAGGCCTTGGGTGGTGGCGCTGTGCCATTGAACTTTCTGCACGTGGTGGTCGGACGCGATGCCTTCCCTGCAGTGACAGACCGCACCCTGTTCTACAACACTGATGCTGAGCTGAAGAAGGTACTGCAGCAGAGCCAGGAAGTCTTCGCGAAGAAGGCAGAGCTCCTGACACTTTTCTGCACAATTTGGTTTGCATTTCAGAGGCCCCAGCAGCTCCCCCCTTTGAAAGGCTTTTGGCGACACAAATGTGGCACCAAGGAAACTTGCGGGTGTTGGCGAGATTTGCTTGGTGCTGCCACAGCCACCTCGCCATCCACGATTCGCCAGATTCATGTTGGACGAGATGGAAGAATGGTCTGAGCAGGAGATTGGTCGAGACATGTGGCCTTCCTTTCAAGGCATGTTGGAGCTTGGGTCTTTGAAGAGGATTTACCAACTCCAGCGCATTCACAAGGAGGTGCGCCCAACTTCCCACATCTATTTGGCCACACAGCCCAGTTTAGGTGGAAAGGCTCCGGCACCTGAATTGCTGATGCGTGCATTGTACCTGTCCAAGATCAACCCAGAGTCATTGAGCTCAAATCTCTCTGATAGCTTGGACATGGCCTTGGATGAGATTGAGCATGCGCTGCTGGACCCTCAGGTCTCCAAGTGTGGGGCATGATGTGGCATGAGGGTCACGACCCTGTTTCAAGAAGTTTCTTTAGAGGAGTCCCTGGGAATGTCAATTGTCAACCAACCCCCCAAAGTGAACGGACAGATCTGTCAGGTTTGTCAGCTGGAGACTGATCCCACCGTTTAGCCCGTGGCAGGTCTCCAAGTTTGGACCTACCATCACCAGTCGGATCTTCTTGCACCTGGTGGCTGAGCTGGACATGCCCAAAGCCCAGATTCAACAGCTCTTTATGGACACCATCAGCAGCCATGTGGGACATCGTGGCTCTGACATCATCAAGCTTTATGTGGACCAGATTGAAGTGAATCTTGGATTTTGTCAAGAATGGTTTGACGGTTCAACAATTGCCCTTATCACAGGTTGCCACCAAGTTGTCACGGATACATAGATGTTTTGGACAATCTTGGACTTGACATTCTGCGGATTACCAACCAAGATGCAACATTGTTATAGTCTGGGTCCGTGCCTTATACGGCCGCCGGGCATGTCAGGAAAGTGCATGTCCGAGACAACAGCTGCCTGGAGATCTTGCGCTTTTCCTTCTCCTCGTTGCATGGGGGCTTCTTCAAGCCGAAGCTGCTGCGCGAGATCCCAGACCCCGTGACCGGCTTCCCCTTGCGCTGGGAAGATCACTCCGATGGAGTCGTGGATCAGTCGAGCTCCCAGAGCTACCAGGCCAAGCGGGTGGCAGCGCGTCGTGCTGGATCAAGCTATGCCTATGACCTGCCGGGAATGCTTCAACTAGCCTTGAGGATGAAATGGATCTCAGCTCCTGAGGAGTCCAGAGCAAAGGGATCTCAAGCGACTGGAACCCGCCGCCGAAGCCCCTCACCACGAGGCCGTACAGTGCCATCAAAGGTGGAGAACATGCCCAAAGATGTCCTGAAAGCGAAGGAATTGGTGATGGAGTCTCGATAGCATGCATAATATAAGTATGGTAAAGTATGTATAGGTCATGTGTTGCACCACAATATATGTTGCTGTTTTTGTTTGGGATTTTGCTGTACTTTGAGTCTCAGGATTGGTCCAAGATGGAACTGATTGAAACTGAGCGTTTGGAGGGAAGCAACGACGTTGGCATGTTGGCTTGGAGGCTGACGATGCAGACCCCTGAATACCCGGAGGGTCGAGATGTCATTTTGATTTCAAACGACGTGACCTTCCAAGCGGGCTCCTTTGGCGTGAGGGAGGATCGATTCTTTCAAAAGGCCTCCGAGTTCGCTCGAGACCGCGGCCTGCCTCGCATCTACGTGTCCTGCAATAGTGGGGCCAGGGTTGGCTTGGTCGAAGAGTTGAAGCCTCTCTTCAAGGTGAAATGGCTCGACCCTTCTGATTGCAACAAGGGTTTCGAATATCTCTATATGCTGAAGCATGACTATGAGAAGCTGCCTGCAGGCAGTGTGGAGGCTCATAAGGTCGAGGAGGCAGGAGAAGAACGGTATGTTTTGGATGCCATCATTGGTGAAGGTATGAAGAGCACTGAGGGTGGAATCGGAGTGGAGAATTTGCAGGGCAGTGGCCTCATTGCTGGTGAAACCAGCAAAGCCTACCAGGACCGAGTCGTAGCCCAGCAAGTTTAATAGCAAGCAGGTGGATTGACAAAGGAGTCACTGACTGCACTATCGCACTCCGAAACATAGATTTTATAATGCCGGTGTTTGGCTATATAGTGGGGCCAAAATGGCAATTCATGTGCCACTGCAGGAAACCTTTACCCTCTCCTACATCACCGGGCGTTCAGTGGGCATCGGTGCTTACCTGAATCGCTTGGGTCAGCGGAATATTCAGATGGTAAGCAGCCCCATGATCCTCACCGGCTACGCCGCCTTGAACAAACTCCTTGGGAAGAATGTGTACTCCTCCCAGGACCAGTTGGGAGGTCCTCAAATCATGGTGCCCAACGGCGTGACACATCAAGTGGTGAGGGATGATCAAGAAGGTATGTCGGCTATTCTGGATTGGTTGAGCTTTGTGCCTAAGGATGTCTCTTGTCCACCTCCTATTTGCTCAAGCTCTGATCCATGGGACCGTGATGTGGAGTTTGAGCCTTCACCTCTTCCCTACGACCCTCGCGACTTTTTGAGGGGTGTCATTGACTATGAAGGCCGACGTCTCCGGGGCTTCTTCGATGCAGGCTCCTTCACCGAATACTTGGAGGGCTGGGGTCAGACCGTCGTCGTGGGCCGTGCACGCCTCGGGGGAATTCCCATGGGCGTCATTGCAGTGGAGACGAGAGCTGTGGAACGCTTGGTCCCTGCCGATCCCTCCAACCCTGAAAGCCGTGAAATGAAGGAGACGGGGATGAGACCAAAGACTGATCAAAGGAAGTTTAGTGTACGAAACTTCCGTGTTACGGACATTCAAGAACTGTTCATACACCACTCATCATACACCACACTCATCATACACCACACTCATCATACACCACTTATCATACACCACTCATCATACACCACTCATCATACACCACTCATCATACACCACTTATCACGCACCACTCATCATCCAGTTCGCTCTAGTTTCAAGAGCTCTAGCTCCAGGTAGCTCTAGTTTCAATAGCTGTAGCTCCAGTTAGCTCTAGTTTCAATAGCTCTAGCTCCAGTTAGCTCTAGTTTCAATAGCTCTA